TGGTCTGTGTGCCTATTTTTATGCCAGTACCATGCTCTTTTGGTGACTATGGCCTTATGGTATAGTTTGAAGTCCGGTAATGTAATGCCTCCAGATTTGTCCTTTTTACTTAGACTTGCTTTGGCTATGTGGGCTCTTTTTTGGTTCCGTATGAATTTCAGGATTGTTTTTCTAGTTCTGTGAAGAATGATGATGGCATTTTGATGTTAATTGCATTGAATTTGTAGATTGCTTTTGGCAGTGTGGTCATTTTCACAATATTGATTCTACCCATCCATGAGCATGGGATGTGTTTTCATTTCTTTGTTGTCATCTGTGATTTCTTTCAGCAGTGTTCTGTACTTTTCCTTGTAGAGGTCTTTCACCTCCTTGGTTAGGTATATTCCTAAGTAGTTTTTTTTTTTTTTTTTTTTTTTTGCAGCTATTGTAAAGGTGTGGAGTTCTTGATTTGATTCTCAGATTGGTTGCTTTTGGTATATAGCATGGCTGCTGATGTATGTACATTAATGTTGTACACAAATGTTTCAGTTTCCTGAAACTTTGCTGAATTCATTTACCAGTTTTAGGAGCTTTTTGGATGAATTTTTAGGGTTTTCTACATATACAATCATATCATCAGCAAATAGCAATAGTTCGACTTCCTCTTTACCAATTTGGATGCCTTTATTTCTTTTTCTTGTCTGATTGCTCTGGCTAGGACTTCCAGTACTGTGTAGAATAGAAGTGGTGAAAGTTGGCATCCTTGTCTTGTTCCAGTTCGTAAGGGGAATGCTTTCAACTTTTCCCCATTCAGTATAATGTTGGCTGTGGGTTTGTCATAGATGACTTTTATTACCTTAAGATATGTCCCTTTTATGCCGATTTTGCTGAGGCTTTTTCATAAAGGGATACTGGATTTTGTCAAATGCTTTTTCTACGTCTATTGAGATGATCAGGTGATTCTTGTTTTTAATTCTGTTTATGTGGTGTATCACATTTATTGATTTGTGGATGTTAAGCCATGCCTGCATCCCTCTTATGAAATCACTTGATTATGGTGGATTATCATTTTGATATGCTGTTAGATTTGATTAACTAGTATTTGGTTGAGGATTTTTGCATCTCTGTTCATCAGGGATGTTGGCCTGTAGTTTTTTTTTGTTATGTCCTTTCCTGGTTTTGGTATTAGTGTGATGTTGGCTTCATAGAATGATTTGGGGGGATTCCCTCTTTCTCTTTTGTGATAGTGTCATTAGGATTGATACCAATTCTTCTTTGAATGTCTGATGGAATTCAGCTGTGAATCGATCTGACCATGGACTTTTTTTTGTTGGTAACTTTTTAATCACCACTTCAGTCTCACTGCTTGTTACTAGTCTGTTTAGAGTTTGTATTTCTTCCTAGTTTAATCTACAAGGGTTGTATATTTCCAGGAATTTATCCATCTCCTCTAGGTTTTCTAGTTTATTTGTGTAATGGTGTTCGTAGTAGCCTTGAATAATCTTTGTATTTCTGTGGTATTGGTTGTAATATCTCCTGCGTCATTTCTAATTATGCTTATTTGGATCTTCTCTCTTTTTTTCTTGGTTAATCTTGCTAATGGTCTGTTTCTCATTTCAAAAAACCAACTTTTTGTTTCTTTTATCTTTTGTGTGTTTCTATTTCATTTAGTTCTGTTCTGATCTTGGTTACTTCTTCTTTTGGGTTTGGGTTTGATTTGTTCTTGTTTCTCTGTTTCCTTGAGGTGTGACCTTAGATTGTCTGTCTGTGCTCTTTCAGACTTTTTGATGTAAGCATTTAATACTATAAACTTTCCTTTTAGCACCACTTTTGCTGTTTCCCAGAGGTTTTGATAGGTTGTGTCACTATTATTGTTCAGTTCAAATACTTTTTAAATTCCCATCTTGATTTTAATGTTGATCCAATCATCATTCAGGAGCAGGTTATTTAATTTCCATGTATTTTTATGGTTTTAAGGGTTCCTTTTGGAGTTGATTTCCAATTTTATTCCACTGTGATCTGAAAGAATACTTGATATAATTTTGATTTCCTTATATTTGTTGAGACTTGTTTTGTGCCCTATGATGTGGCCTGTCTTGGGGGATGTTCCATGTGCTGATGAAGACAATGTATATTCTGCAGTTGTTGGGTAGAATATTCTGTAAATGTTAAGTCCAGTTGTCCTAGGGTATAGTTTAAGTCCATTGTTTCTTTGTTGACTTTTTGTCTTGATGACCTGTCTAGTGCTGTCAGTAGAGTACTGAAGTCTCCCACTATTATTGTGTTGCTGTCTATCTCATTTCGTAGGTCTAGTAGTAATTGTTTTATAAATTTGGGAGCTCCAGTGTTAGGTGCATATGTATTTAGGATTTTGATATTTTCCTGTTGCACTATTCCTTTTATCATTGTATAATGTCCCTCTTTGTCTTTTTTAAGTACTGTTGCTTTAAAGTTTGTTTTGTCTGATATAAAAACTACTTTTGCTTTTGGTGTCCATTTGCATGAAATATCTTTTTCTAGTCCTTTACCTTAAGTTTATGTGAGTGCTTACGTGTCAGGTGAGTCTCTTGAAGACAGCAGATAGTTGGTAAATTCTTATCCATTCTGCCATTCTGTATCCTTTAAGTGGAGCATTTAAGCCATTTACAAACAATGTTATTGAGATGTGAGGTACTGTTCTATTCATTGTCCTATTTGTTGCCTGAATACCTTTTTCTTCTTCTTTTTTTTTTTTTTTTTCTGTTGTGGTAGTGTTTTATAGGGGCTGTGAGATTTATGCTTTAAGGAGATTTTATTTTGGTGTATTTTGAGGATTTGTTTCAAGATTTAGAGCTCGTTTTCATATTCTCTCAGCGTTTGTTTGTCTGAAAAAGTCCGTATTGTTCATTTATAAAGCTTAGTTTTGCAGGATACAGAATTCTTGGCTGATAATTGTTTTATTTAAGGAGATTAAACGTAGGACTTCAGCTCTTCTAGCTTGTAGGATTTCTGCTGAGAAACCTGCTGTTAATCTGATAGATTTTTCTTTATAGCTCTTTAGATTCTTTCCTTTGTCTTGACTTTAGACAACCTGATGACTGTGCCTAGGTGATGATCTTTTTATGATGAATTTCCCAGGTGTTCTTTGAGCTTCTTGTATTTAGATGTCTAGATCTCTAGCAAGGCCGGAGAAGTTTTCCTCAATTATTCTCTCAAATATGTTTTCCAAACTTTTAGATTTCTCTTCTTCCTCAAGAACAATTATTCTTAGGTTTGGTTGTTAAACATAATCCCAAACTTCTTGGAGGCTTTTTTCATTTTTCAAAATTCTTTTTTCTTTGTCTTTGTTGGATTGGGTTAATTCGAAAGCCTTGTCTTTGAGCTCTGAAGTTCTTTCTTCTACTAGTTCGATTTTATTGCTGAGACTTTCCAGTACATTTTTCATTTCTCTAAGTGTGTCCTTGGTTTCCAGAAGTTGAGATTGTTTTTTATTTATGCTATTTCACTGAAAATTTTTCCATTCGTATCCTGTATTCATTTTTTTAAAAAAATTCTTTAAGTTCGACTTTACCTTTCTCTGGTGCTGCCTTGATCGGTTTAAAAGTTGACCTGTATTTTTTTTCTGGCATGTTAGAGGTTTTGTGTTGGTTTGGATTCATTGCTGGTAAGTTAGTGTGATCTTTTTGGGGTGTTGAAGAACCTTGTTTTGTCATGTTACTGGAATTGTTTTTTTTGGTTCCTTCTCATTTTGGTAGACTATATTGGAGGGAAGATCTGGAACTCAAGGGCTGCTGTTCGGTATCTTTTGTCACACGGGGTGCTCTCTTGATGTGGTGCTCCCTGCTTTCCTATAGGGATGGGGCGTCCCGAGAGCTGAACTACAGTAATTGTTATTTCTCTTCTGGATCTAGCCCAGTGGAGCTACTGGGCTCTGGGATGGTACTGGGGACTGTCTGCAAAGAGTCCTGTGATGTGATCCGTCTTCAGGTCTGTCAGCCGTGGATACCAGCACCTGCTTCCATGGAGGTAGCAGCAGAGTGAAGTGGACTCTGAGGGTCCTTGGTTGTATTTTTAAGAATGCTGGTTTTATGTTCATTGGCCTCCAGCCAGGAGGTGGCACTTTAAAGAGCACATTAGCTGCAGTAGTAGAGGAAGACCAGGCGATGGGCGGGACCATAGAGCTCCCAAGAGATTGTGTCCTTTGTCTTCGGAGTTCCTTGGCTGTCTCAGGATCCTGCAGCAGCAATCCATCTTCTTCAAAGGGTCTGGATTCTCTTGGCTTTCCTGGTATGTTCCTGCATAGTTTTTGGAGCGAGAATGCGCGATGTAGGTCCCCATGTGATGCTCTGTCCATTGAGTGGGAGCTGTAAGTTAGTATTGCCTCCTATCTGCCATTTTTCCCTCTCACCATGTGATTTGGTTATTTTTATGAAAGTCTAATATTAAAAGATTTGAAAAGTTGGAATGGTGTGATCATGTGTTATACTTGGAAAAGGGAAGACAGTCTACGATCATGTGGTGAAATAAACTACAGTAAAGTAGAGATATTGGAGTAGAATAAAACAAGTAAGAGGTATTTAATATTGAATGCTCTAGATGTTGGCTGTATATGACATTGATTTGTAATGTAGTATGAAATCTTCAGTGGGAGAAATTGAAACTGTTATAAAAAGGGGGAACATGAATTCTTTGTTGAGGCCAAAGGAAATGATAGTGGGTCTGCCTGAGATTTGTTAAGATGCTCTTGTGTAGTCAGTTCCACACAGCTATTAAGAGGTGGTTTACTTTTTATCTTGATGTAATAGCTTGCAGCTGATTTGAATCTCGCTCAGTTTTTGTTTTCCTTTGAGAATGTGAAGGTTGTATGGGTTTAAATTTCACCATTGTTGAAATGAGACAGTAAATCTGAGAATCTTCTTTTATTTTCCTCTGATAGCTTTGCTGGGTGACCACAAGTATAGAAAAGCAAATGGTATGTAAATATCAAAATTTTTTTTTAAAGGTAAGTCATCTTTTTTTTTCTCCTTTGAATTTTATTCTAGGATCCATCAGTTACACAAGTGACAAGAAATGTTCCACCAGGACTTGACGAATATAATCCATTCTCGGATTCTAGAACAGTAAGATTATTCTTGCTTTTAAATGTTTAAAATGAAATTCAATAGGAATTATATTTCAACTATGGTTTCTTTTTTGTTGGGTTGGTTAAACTTAAAACAAATTGTTAATATTTTATTTAGTATTCAGCAAGCTTGGCTTTTTTTTTTAATATGTAGAAATATTAGTAGTAATTGAAGATTACCATGATGATCCTAGTGAAATACTTCAAATTTTCTTTTATGTTTTACAAATTAAATCACAATAATCTTTCTAAAATGTAAACTTTTCTACACTACTTGAAATACTAGGAATTAGAGAAATATTTCTTGGTGTACATGTTGTCTGCCTGATAATGTGGGGTGACTTTTTTTTTTTACGTGGAAACTGTGTAGAACTGTAACATGAATGTTTGTATGATTGTCATTTGAATTAGATTATTCTGAATAGTACTAGCCTTCTGTTCTGGCAGAGTAGACTCTTTGGAACTTTACCCAGGCTAGGAAAGCATATTTTTGCCCTCAAAATTTAGTTATTTTTTTCTTTTTCTTTTAAAAATTTATTTATTGTAGAGGCAGGGTCTTCTATGTTTCCCAGGCTGGTCTTGAACTCCTGGTCTCAAGCCATCCTCCCACCTCAGCCTCCCAAAGTGCTGCAACTACAGACGTGAGCCATGGCACCTGGCCTCAAAATTTAGTCTTGATTTATAAAATGTACAAGTATTAAAAAATCCTCATAAAACAATGGTTTGCTACTCTAGATGTATATTAGAAGCATCTGGGGGACTTTATTACACTACTCCTTATGGCCCTAATCTCTTAGAGTTAGGACTTTTTTTTTTAAGTTCTTTTGATGATTTTATTGCAACCTGGATTTGGAAACTGTTGAGGTATATTCTGTTGAAAATTATCCCCAGAATTTCTGTGGCAAATAATTTCATCTCCTGTATTTGGGTCCCCCTCCAATACTTTGTTACCTTGCCCTGTGCATCTCTTCTATTTGGCTGTTCCTGAGTTGTGTCCTTTAATAAGCTGCTAACAGTAAGTAAACTGTTTCCTTGAGTTCTGAGAGCCCTTCTAGAAAATTATCAAACCCGAGGAGAGGGTCATGGAAACCCCCAGCTTATAGCAAGTTAGTCAGTATGGGTGGCAATGTGTGACTTGTGACTGGTGAAATGAGCTCTTAACCTGTGGGATCTGTGATAATCCAGGTAGGTAGTATCAGAATTGAACTGAATTGTAGGACATCTAGACGGTGTCCAAAGAGTTGGAGAATTGGTTGGTGTGGGGGGGAAAACCCCACATATTCGATGTCAATAGTATTGTTGGTAAAAACAGTCCAAAAGTAAAAGCATTAAAATAAGAATGAACTTTTAAATTTCTCTTTATTTCAAAGCCCTCATTTAACAGCCTTTGCTTATATATAGCAAATTAATCCCAGGTTGGGATCACTGAAGTGCTTTTTGAGCATGTAAATTACAGGTTAAAACATGTGAAATAGCCAATAAGCTGACCAGTTTTGGTATATAAAAATGGTGGTGTCATATGATTCAACCTTTTAATGAGTTAGTGCTGTGAGTATGTGAGAGTGCAATTTGGGTAGTAGTTGTTGAAGGGAAAAAAAGAAGAGCTGGCAAATTATATTCCTCTATATGTAGTTCTTTTAACTTGATTTCTAGGAGGTGGAGATGGGAACAAGACCATTTTTAAAGTTTGTCGATAAAGAATGAAAAATTTTTATATAAATGTTTGGAAAACTTTACTAGCAAGAAATATGTTTAGCATTTTTATATAGTTAGCAGCTTTAGATTACTCTTATCTGTTGTAGTATTCTTCATCAAGCTGTCTACTTTGTGCCATGTGCTTTGCCTGTATTATCTTATTAAATTCTGATAACATTCAAAATTGATATTTTAAATTTCCAGTTTACTAATAAAGAATCTGAGACACAGGTCAGCTAGCAAGTAAAGTGGCAGAACTGGCTTGTTAACTCATGTGTTATCTGTAAAGTTTTTGCCTTTTTCATTTTGCTAGTGCTGTCTTTGGAGATAGTTACTTAAGAAGTAGAAAAAATAGTCCTGGTCTTTGAAAGATTTCTCACCTAATTGGTGTAATTAAAAATTACACAGACACAAAGAAGATATATCCAGAATAAATCAAACAAAATATAAATAATGATTCTGAATGTTGAGACTTTATGGTTACAGAAAGATTTTCTGAAAGTGAATAATCTTGAGCAGGGAGCTAGGCAATAATGAGAAGCCACTTTACAATGAAATGCTTCCCTTAGATTTGATGAACAGTGATATGGTGTCAGAACCAGGAAAATTGTTATGAGAATTGGGTGTATTTTCCTCTGCACTGTTAACATGATGGAAAACACAGTTTAAATATTAAATATTCCTTTATTATATGATGTGATTTCACAAATTTGTCCATTTTTGTGGCTGTGATTATTTTCCAAAGACATTAGGTGTACTTAGATAATTGATTTAAGTGGTACATTAGCATTAGACCTTGGTCCTGTTTTAGTTAATTGGTAGTATTCATATTTTTATCATGGGACAGTGTTTGTGGAACTGAAGCTTTTTGATTGCTGTATCAGGGTATAGTGAGCTACGTGAGGTCAAGAAGGAAGATCTTCTAGTAGGATGCCTGAGTGTATAATCTTGCTAAGATTTAGAAAGTTCCTGCCCTCTTCTTCTTTTTTATTAAAATTGTTTTCTTTTGTACTTACTTTCTGAGTACAAAGAGGACCTGCATTTTAACCTAGGCCCTACCACTATGCAGTTGGTAACTTTAGGCAAACCATATAACCTCTTTGGAAATCTATATATATATATATTTTTTTTTTTTTACAGTGAAGGCAGGGAGGAAAATGTTGAGTTAAATAATTTTATTTTTTTATAGACACAGGTTCTTGCTTTGTTGCCCAGGCTGGTCTCAAACTCCTGGACTCAAACGATCCTTCTGCCTTGTCCTCCCAAAGTGTTGGGATTACAGGCATGAACCACCATGCCTAGCTGAGTTAAATAATTTAGTATTAGTGTCTCTTGAAAATTAAGACTAAAGCATTTAGCTACAGGGACTGACTGGATATAATTGTACATGGTAGTTTACTCATCTTTAATACTGTGAAAGCATTCTGTATAGTTAACACCTGTCTTTATTTTTTCTCGCTGTGCACTTCTTTTTTCTCTTTTTCCTTCCCTTCTGCTTCTCACTGTTTTGTCATTCTTGGAGCTCATTATCTGTCCCTTCTGGAACCACTTTGTTTCCAGTCTCATTTAATGATACTGTTGAGTTATATCCTAGTATCATTGGCTAGAAACACCCGAGTTGTCTTTGGCACTAACAGCTTCTTTTCCTAAATCTAATCAGTTGCTGCATCCTGTCACTTATCCCTGCTGGAGATATGACCTGTCTGTTCTTTTCATTCTTTCTTACCTGGCCTAATTCAGGCACTCATGTGAAATGATAGAATGACCTATCTAGTTATCTACTTCCAGCCTCTTCAAATCCCTTTTTATACTGTGACTGGACTGATTTTCCTAAAGCAGAGGTCAGAGTAGGTCATCTGCCCTCCTTAGAAATGATTATGCATTGCCTACTAAGTAGTTTGGCATGTGAGACCATACGTGGTTTGACTTCAGACTTTTTGTTTTTATTTTAATTTTGTTTTCATGGACTATTTTTTTAGGCTTTCAGAACAATTGAGCAGAAAGTACAGAGTACCAGTTTGTTTTCTCCAGACTATCTTTTTACTCTTATCTTCTAATGTGCCATTTGCTCCAGCCAAAGTCTAATTAACTCATGAGCCCCTGACCCTATTGAGACCATCTCCCCATTGTATAGAGTCAAAAGAGACTGTGGGTGATCATAAAGCTTGACTTCTGTAGGTTTTCAGTGGATCCAGATGAATACTTCACACTGGATATATCCATTTTCTGTTGCTGCAGGATTTTTGCAGCAGTGGAGAGCAGAGAGTTGTTTTTAGGGGAGAGGATGAGAGAAATGGGGGCTGGAAAGGGAAAGGAGGTTAAGATAAAGTTTTGTTACAGAGTTACAGTAATAAAGACAGTATGGTACTGGCATAAACATGCAAATCAGTGGAACTGACAGCCCAGAAATAAACACTTACATTTATGATCAACTGATTTTTGACAAGATTGTCAAGATAATCCAGTGGGAAAGAATAATCTTTTCAGTAAATGGTGCTGGAATAACTGGATGTCCACATACAGTAGAATGAAGTTGGACTCCTACCTCATCCCATACATAAAAATTAACCCGATCATAGACCTAAAGGTAAGCACTGAAACTATACATAGGAGTAAATCTTCATTACCTTTAGTTAGGCCATGGTTTCTTAGATGTGACATTGAAAATACAAACAACAAAAGAGAAAACAGGCAATTTGGACATCAAAATTTAAAACTTTTTGTCCAAGAACACTATCAAGAAAGTGAAAAGACATCTCACAGAATGGGAAAATGTTTGCAGATCACATATTTGATAAGGGACTTGTATCCAGAATATATATTAAATTCTTACAGTTCAATATTAAAAAGACAACCAGGCTAGGTGTGGTGGCTCATGTTTGTAATCCCAGCACCTTGGGAAGCTGAGGTGGGTGGATCATTTGAGGTCAGGCGTTTGAGAACAGCCTGACCAACATGGCAAAACCCCATCTCTACCAAAAATACACAAATTAACCAGGTGTGGTGAGTCCACATGCCTGGAATACATGCCTGAGTCCCAGCTACTCAGGAGGGTGAAGCAGGAGAATCACTTGAACCTGGGAGAGGGAGGTGGCAGTGTTCCAAGATGGTGCCACTGCATTCCATCCTGGGAGACAGAGGAAGACTTAAGACTTTGTCCCGCCCTGTCCCCCACCCCCCACAAAAAAAAGACAACCCAGTTTATAATGGGATAGAAATTTTGAATAGACGTTTCTCCTAAGAAGATAAATGGCCGATCAGCACATGAAAAAATGTTCAACATTGTTAGCTGTCAAGATGCAA